TCAACACTGATGATGTCATGACTCATTACAGGAGAATCAACACTGATGATGTCATGACTCATTACAGGAGAATCAACACTGATGATGTCATGACTCATTACAGGAGAATCAACACTGATGATGTCATGACTCATTACAGGAGAATCAACACTGATGATGTCATGACTCATTACAGGAGAATCAACACTGATGATGTCATGATGACTCATTACAGGAGAATCAACACTGATGATGTCATGACTCATTACAGGAGAATCAACACTGATGATGTCATGACTCATTACAGGAGAATCAACACTGATGATGTCATGACTCATTACAGGAGAATCAACACTGATGATGTCATGACTCATTACAGGAGAATCAACACTGATGATGTCATGACTCATTACAGGAGAATCAACACTGATGATGTCATGACTCATTACAGGAGAATCAACACTGATGATGTCATGACTCATTACAGGAGAATCAACACTGATGATGTCATGACTCATTACAGGAGAATCAACACTGATGATGTCATGACTCATTACAGGAGAATCAACACTGATGATGTCATGACTCATTACAGGAGAATCAACACTGATGATGTCATGACTCATTACAGGAGAATCAACACTGATGATGTCATGACTCATTACAGGAGAATCAACACTGATGATGTCATGACTCATTACAGGAGCGTCAACACTGATGATGTCATGACTCATTACAGGAGCGTCAACACTGATGATGTCATGACTCATTACAGGAGAATCAACACTGATGATGTCATGACTCATTACAGGAGCGTCAACACTGATGATGTCATGACTCATTACAGGAGCGTCAACACTGATGATGTCATGACTCATTACAGGAGAATCAACACTGATGATGTCATGACTCATTACAGGAGAATCAACACTGATGATGTCATGACTCATTACAGGAGAATCAACACTGATGATGTCATGACTCATTACAGGAGAATCAACACTGATGATGTCATGACTCATTACAGGAGAATCAACACTGATGATGTCATGACTCATTACAGGAGAATCAACACTGATGATGTCATGACTCATTACAGGAGAATCAACACTGATGATGTCATGACTCATTACAGGAGAATCAACACTGATGATGTCATGACTCATTACAGGAGAATCAACACTGATGATGTCATGACTCATTACAGGAGAATCAACACTGATGATGTCATGATGACTCATTACAGGAGAATCAACACTGAAGATGTCATGACTCATTACAGGAGAATCAACACTGATGATGTCATGACTCATTACAGGAGAATCAACACTGATGATGTCATGACTCATTACAGGAGAATCAACACTGATGATGTCATGACTCATTACAGGAGAATCAACACTGATGATGTCATGACTCATTACAGGAGAATCAACACTGATGATGTCATGACTCATTACAGGAGAATCAACACTGATGATGTCATGACTCATTACAGGAGAATCAACACTGATGATGTCATGACTCATTACAGGAGAATCAACACTGATGATGTCATGATGACTCATTACAGGAGAATCAACACTGATGATGTCATGACTCATTACAGGAGAATCAACACTGATGATGTCATGACTCATTACAGGAGAATCAACACTGATGATGTCATGACTCATTACAGGAGAATCTGCTCGTTTGAGTGACAGACGAACCTCCACCAGAACATTGAGTCCAGCGGCGACCAGAACATCCCGGATCTCAGTGCAGGACGGGTTCTCCACAGCCTGAGGAACACACACACACACACACATGTACATCAAGACTGGCATCATGAGCGACGCTGTCAGTCACTCTCTCACACACACACACACACACACACACACACACACACACACACACACACACACACACACACACACACACACACACACACACACACACACACACACACTCACCTTCTCTGCAGCGATTCTTCTGCCTTCTGCTAATGTCTTTTTACTGTTGATGTACGATGGATAAATACACATAAACCTGGAGGATAAACACTGATTAAAGATCAACATGTAAATATGCTAGACTACTACTCACTCTCATTGTGTGTGTGTGTGTATATAATATATATATATACACACACACATAACATATACATAAATTCACTCCCACACTCACATACTCTGTCTCTCTCACTCACACACTCACATACACACTCTCTGTCACTCACTCACACACTCACTCTCTGTCACACACTCACTCTCTGTCACTCACTCACATACACACACACTCTGTCTCTCTCACTCACATACACACTCTCTGTCACTCACTCACACACTCACTCTCTGTCACACACTCACTCTCTGTCACTCACTCACATACACACACACTCTGTCTCTCTCACTCACATACACACTCTCTGTCACTCACTCACACACTCACATACACACACACTCTGTCTCTCTCACTCTCACATACACACACACTCTCTCTCTCACACACAAACACAGTCTCTCTCTCTCTCTCTCTCTCTCTCTCTCTCTCTCACACACACACACACACACAGTATCTCTCTCTCTCTCTCTCTCTCTCTCTCTCTCTGTCTCTCTCTCTCTCTCTCTCTCTCTCTCTCTCTCTCACACACACACACTACTCCACTGAGTTGCACAGGTAAATTGTTTAACAGATGTAATAATATGAAGTTCGGAGTTTAAGCACAGTTGACACTGACCGCTCTTTATCCGCCGGGTTCGTCGTTAGATGCGCCATGTCTCCAGATCCTCCTCAGTTTATTCCCTGTTTGTAAAGTACACGTTTGATTCCAAACGATTGGAAGTGGAACGCTGATGAGTGTTTCTGTGTGTACACGACACATCCGGCACAGAGTGGGCGTGTTCTCCGCTCGTCATCAGTGTTTCCGGTATGGCGTCACTCACAGCGCCGCCTGTCGGCTCAGAGAGCGCTAGCTACAGTTAGCATGCTGCATGTTTACTTTGCACGCGATCACAAAACTCGATAACATGTTCTTAAAGATCATGAAATATGTCACAGGAAATGAAGGTGAGGAAGAGATTGTTAATGTGATTGATCGTTTTCACAAACCTGAAGGTGAACTAGTTCAGTGTCAGACACTATTTATTACCTTACCTTGCATAATTTTATCTGTTTATACAATATTATGTTTATACCTATTTTTATATCATGTGTTTTGTGTAACTACATGCGTTTTTGTGTAGGTCTGTATATTTACTACCAGTCAAATATTACGATTTTTGTTTGTTTTAAATATTCTGGAAGAGTCTCTTCTGCTCACCAAGGCTGTTTATTTGATAAAAAATACAGTAAAAATAGTAAAATACTGTTTTCTATTTGAATACATAGTAAAGTGTAATTTATTCCTGTGATCAAAGCTGAATTTTCTGCATCATTACTCCAGTCTTCAGTGTCACATGATTATTCAGAAATCACTCTACTATGATGATTACATGATCAAGAAACATTATTATCAATTTTAAGAACAGTTCATATTTTTGTGGAAGTTTGGGGTAAGTTTCCTTTTTAAAAATATTTTATTCATCAAGGACGCATTCAACTGATCAAATTATTACAAAAGATTCTATTTCAAATGCTGTTCTTATGAACTTTCTAATCATCAAAGAATCCTGAAAAATAAAATGTATTAGTTTCCACAAAAAAATATGAACTCATTTCAACATTGATAATAATCTGAATTGATGATTTCTGAAGGATCATGTGACACTGAAGACTGGCGTAATGATGCTGAAAATTCAGCTTTGATCACAGGAATAAATAATACTTTACTATATATTCACATAGAAAACAGCTGATTTACATTATAATAATATTTCACTGTTTTTACAGTATTTTTGATCAAATAAGCACAGCCTTGGTGAGCAGAAGAGACTCTTTCACACACATGTAAAGTGTACATAAAGACGAGTTGTGTGTTGCCAGGATGTGAGTGTGTATTTCCGTCCGCTGCTGGAGCTCAGAGACGTCGTGCTCCTCACACACAGAGTCCTGCAGGACTTTCCCAACACAATCCTGCCTGAATTCAAACCCTGGTTCCCGTCAGCGTCAGACTCCCGAAAACCCATCAGACCACGGAAACCTCCACCACTGATCTCCTCCTCCGAGATCCCTCTCCAGATCCCACTCCAGATCCCAAACGAGATCCCACACCAGATCCCAAACGAGATCCCACACCAGATCTCACTTGAGATCCCACACCAGATCTCACTTGAGATCCCACACCAGATCCCAAACGAGATCCCACTCCAGATCCCAAACGAGATCCCACACCAGATCCCAAACGAGATCCCACACCAGATCCCAAACAAGATCCCACTCCAGATCCCACACCAGATCCCAAACGAGATCACACACCAGATCCCAAACGAGATCACACACCAGATCCCAAACGAGATCCCACACCAGATCTCACTTGAGATCCCACACCAGATCCCAAACGAGATCACACACCAGATCCCAAATGAGATCCCACACCAGATCCCAAACAAGATCGCACACCAGATCCCAAACGAGATCCCAAACGAGATCCCAAACAAGATCCCACTCCAGATCCCACACCAGATCCCAAACGAGATCCCACACCAGATCCTAAACGAGATCCCACTCCAGATCCCAAACAAGATCCCACTCCAGATCCCAAACGAGATCCCACTCCAGATCCCACACCAGATCCCAAACGAGATCCCACTCCAGATCCCACACCAGATCCCAAACGAGATCCCACACCAGATCCCACGGGAAGCTTCAGACTCCAGATCCCAGAGTAAACCGGTCCCGGATCCTCAGAGGTTCGAGCGCTCGTGGTGTGTGATCTCACACAGATCCGCTCCGCTCCGGATCCCGCGCTCCTTCTCCCGTCCCTTCCGGCAGATCATCGAGGATCACGGGCTGGATCTGCGTCAGCGGGTGAAGTGGGTTGTGTGTGAGCGTAACTGTGGCTCTCGCGGCCTGGAGGTTCTGTGGCGGGATCTGATCCGGGCCGTCCGGCGTTCCCGAATGCCCTCCTGCAACGCAAACTTCCAGCGAGCGCTGGCGCAGATCTGGCTTTACTGCGACGTCTTCTTCTGCGAGTATATCGGGGACTTCCTGAAGCAGGAGTTCCAGCTCTCAGGGAAAATCACACTGACGGTGCATAAACTCGGAGAATTAATTAAGTTATGAGGTTTTAATGACATACTGTAAATGTGAAACAGAGTGAAAATGTATCATATTTATAATTGGCCATAAATGAATTGTTTGTTTTTATATGATATGTATTTTACACCCGTATTAAAATGTGCTGTGTGTTTCACGTCTGTGTCTGTCGTGGATGGAGAGTCGGTTTATCACCTTCATTTAAAACCTAATGGCTCGTTTCCACTGAGGCGTACGGTACGGTACGGTACAGTACAGTACGGGTCGGTACAGCATGATCCGGCTAGCGTTTCCACTGCCAACAGTACCCTTACTTGATAGGCGTGGTGTTTGCCGGTCCGTGGTGTTCGGACCGTTACCATTTTGTCTGTTTAAATGGGGAAAAATCGAAGATAACGTCAGTAGACTATGGAGTGCCGCAAGGATCGGTGTTAGGCCCTCTGCTATTCTCAATATATATGCTGCCACTTGGTAATATTATAAGAAAACATGGAATTAATTTCCACTGCTATGCTGATGACACTCAATTATATATTTCATCACGACCAGATGAATACACTAACTTATCTAAATTGACAGAATGTCTTAAAGATATAAAATGCTGGATGACGTGTAATTTCCTGCTACTAAATCCAGATAAAACTGAGGTATTACTTATTGGTCCAAAAAACTACCCACAAAATCTCTTACAATACAACTTTAATATAGAAGGATGTCCTGTTACCTTATCGACTACAGTAAAAGACCTGGGTGTTATACTAGACCGCAACTTGTCTTTCGAAAATCATATTTCGTATGTTACAAGAACAGCCTTTTTCCACCTTAGAAACATTGCTAAATTACGTAACATGCTATCTGTTTCTGATGCAGAAAAGTTAGTTCATGCATTCATGACCTCGAGACTAGATTATTGTAATGCTTTATTAGCTGGTTGTCCTGCATCTTCAATAAACAAGCTACAGTTAGTCCAAAATGCAGCCGCTAGAGTTCTTACTAGGTCAAGAAAATATGATCATATAACACCGATTCTATCATCTCTGCACTGGTTACCTATCAAGTTCCGTATCAATTACAAAGTACTACTACTGACCTATAAAGCCCTAAATGGTTTAGCTCCTGTGTATTTAATGGACCTTCTATCGCCCTACAATCCATCGCGTTCTTTAAGATCCCGAAATTCGAGGCTTCTGGTCATTCCTAGGATATCTAAGTCCACTAAAGGAGGGAGGGCGTTCTCACATTTAGCTCCTAAACTCTGGAATAGCCTTCCTGATACTGTTCGTGGCTCAGACTCGCTCTCCCAGTTCAAAACTAGATTAAAGACGCATCTCTTCAGCCAAGCATTCACATAATGCTTACCTTTTATACCACTGTTGAATCAGATCGACTGCATTAATATTATGAACAGCAGCTACGCTAATTATTTCCCATCTGCTTTTCTGCTGTTATCTCGGGACGCTAGTCCCGAGGTAAATAGCGTTCGTCAGCTCCAGTTTGTATCCAGCCTCTCACGGAGACTTCAGACGCTCCAACACCTGCGATGAGACGACTCGACGCCTATGAAGAGACGACTCAACGCCGGCGATATGTTATGCCCTAAATTAATACATGATGATTAACTAACTATATTATTCTATGTACATTTCTGAAATGCACTTTCTGTAAAGCTGCTTTGAAACAATATGTATTGTGAAAAGCGCTATACAAATAAATTTGAATTGAATTGAATTGAATTTGCCGGAAAGAAGCGATCGACGTCATTTTCGCGCGAAGAAAGCGACATAGTAAACAACAATGGATGACAGACAGCAGATCTTGATCTTGCTTCTCGGCATGTTTGTCACAAGAAACAAGCGCTGGCATTAGGCGTTTCTCAATACCAAGTAGCCACGCAAAGTCCGACTCAGGAGAATGATCCCGAGGACGCGAGTCCAGTAATTCTGCTGATGGAACAGCGCGTTCTTAAATGCGCCACTCAGCTCGCTCTGCTACTCCGGTTATGTACATTTTAGGCAACAATAAAACGAAATATGTTATAAAACACCACTCTGCTTCTTTTTGATTTAATTTAAACACATTGTAAACATTATTCACACAAATGTGGTTCAGGCAACGCAGCCTATTGATTATATTCACTGCATGTATGTAACGTTATATTTATAACAAAACTAAATATAAAACACAACCCTGCCTCTTTTCGTTTAAATTTAAAAATATTAAACATATTCCAGGCAATGTATTGCATTGGTACAAATGTTGCAATAAACAACATTACAGATGATCTTGTAATAAAAAAAAAAAAGGACAAAACTGTCTATTTTTGTTGAATTTATATTGAATTTATAAGATATACAGTAAAGCTTTAATAACATAAAGCAAACAATTCAGTCAAATAGGCTATACAAATTCAGCGCTCAAATAGGCCTATATTAAACTTCTCCTTCTGCCAAAACTATTGGCCAGGGAACGAATTATAGATTTACGAGACCAAAGATCGCCTGTTAGGTCTGTACAAGACGAATTACATCTCATGTTTAACCACTACAGAGACGTCAGAGTCAGCGGCAAACATCAGAATGACTAGCCGGGGAAAGGCTGCTCCAGGCGGGGTGCACGAGCGCCGAGCGTCCGGTGATTGCTTGGAATGGATCTTCAAATTATCATAAATCTATAAATAAACCACAGATTTGAGCTTTAAAAAAACTACTTTCTCGCCTGAAAAACTCTTAAAACTACATTTCGTGACACAATAACAGTAGTATTGTATTTCAACTGTATGCTTCTTGTAGCACGCGCAAGTGACGATACTCTGTCAACCAATCACCGTTCTTCAGTGAGTCTAGCTCCACCTTTTAGTACCGTACTGTCTATGGTACCGTACCACTGTGGTACCCCAACGGAAGGGTACCCAAAAAGTGGTACGGTACGGTTCGGCTTTTTGGTACCATTCATAACTTTTGACAGTGGAAACGCAAATAATTGCGTACCAAACCGAACTGTACCGTACCATACCACTCAGTGGAAACGAGCCATTAGTGTTTAACTAGCACGGATTACACTGATGTTCTGTCAGTGTTTCTGCCTCGTTTTCCAGCACAAATATATAAACATTCTTAAATCAAGATACATTTACTGAAGAAGAAGCAAAATGACAATAAGAATGTTTTCATATTTGTGCCGGAAAACAAGACAGAAACACTGAAGAAGAACATCATGTTTTGAAGTCCAGAGTAGACCTGCAAGTATTAAAGTGTGTGTGTGTGTGTGTGCGCGTGTCGATCTGCAGTGTTTGGTTTCCAGATCTGATTCTGGAGTGTGTTTCCCAAAGCCAACTATGGTTGCAAGTCCCGTCGTTCCCAATAGAGTTCAGTGGAAATTGCGATCCTAGTTTTCCAACGATGCTTTTGGGAAACGCACCCAACGATTCCTCAAATCATGTGATCAGACTCATTTTCACCTGATTGAGAGAAGAAACTCATTTCTCCATTGATTTTTGATGCATCCAAATGGGTAAGTCATGATATTATTGTGTGATGTATTTAATTTAAGAATGTGATTTCAACTTGCACCGGACTCAAGTATATTAACCAGTTTCACACATAGTGATGGTTCAAATAACAAGTAATGAGATTCAGGCACTTTATTAGTCACAATCAGCCGAGCACATGACCGACCAACCGAATGAATAATCTGTGAACATCAGCTTGATTTCATCATCATGATTCTTTTGAACTCCATGGCCAATATTCTGATCGATTGGTTATTAATTGATTGGTTGGTTGGTTGGTTGATTTATTGATTGATTGGTATCTTGTTGCCGTGAAACTCATGATTTTCATCTGTTCCAGGAAAGTGTGATGATGTTTGTGTTGATTGCGACTGAACACTTTTTGCACTGATGGTGATCATGAGATTCATTTGCTTTATTTCTGGTACAGATTCTGTCTTCCTTCCAGCAGCTTTAAAGCATGTTTATTCTGCTCTTTATATTGCTCTAATATTCTGATAGTTCCAAACCAATCTGACTTCTGACCTATAATGCTGCCATAATCATAATCATACACTGTTGGTTCATTGGCCAGAGGAGAACTGAGCGAGTCTGGTTTCTCACAAGAGTTTTCCTCCATTCTGTCATGGAGTTTCGGTTCCTTCACTGTCGCCTTTGGCTTGCCTTGCAGTTCGGGACATTAAATTTAATATTCAACAATATTATTGATCTCCTGCATTGACACTATTATACAAGAACTGAACTGAGCTGGACGATGACATCACGGTTTACTCCAGAGCGGCTATATATATATATATATACCTATGAACTAAATTAATAACTTTTTTAAAACAAAAATGAACCATCACTGAACTTGAGCTGGATTGACACTATTTTCTTCTAGACAAACTTTGTTGCATTATTGTACTGTTATCTTATCTCTGTAAAGCTGCTTTGAAACACTAAAAAGCACTGTATAAAAGACTTTACTTTAAAAATGTTGTAACTCTTGTGACGCACGTTCATATCTTGTCATCTGTAGTTCGGAATTAACCTTTAAAATGGGGAAATATTGACTCTTTCCAGCATTTGATTCTTTTGCTTTGTTCGCTCGATTAAACTATGGTCTTTTAAACAACATTCTTAAGTCGAACAGTAACACTTTATACAATTTCATGTGTTAAAATTAGTGAAGTTAACACGAACTAATAACGAACAACACTTCTACAGCATTTATTAATCATAGTTATAATGTTAACCTGAAACATTTACCTGATCAAAGGTTGCATCAGTTTACGTTAGTTAATGAGCATTAGCCTACTATTTTGATTAATTAGCATTAGCATTAAAGGCCATTGTTATTTTTCTATAGGCTATTAAACGTTAACAAATGAGATTTATTATTGTAAAGCGGCACCAGAAAATCATATTATTTTAAATTACTGTTTAAAAGTGGCAGTTTTTCCCGAACTTTTCTCAGATAGATGGCCGATAATAGATGAAATCTCCTGTCGATTCGTTCAGTTCGACTGAATTCAACCACAAGTGAAATGGAAGGAAAGAGTCAAAGGAAGTGTTTTTCTGCAGTTTCACATCGATGTTATCAGTGTTCCTCTAAACCTGTGAGAAACTGAGACAGAAACACAGAAGCCCAGCGTTTCCAACAGCATGCGAGCATTCAGTCCATCAAACCAAGTGCGTCTGATTTATATCAGTTTAACTCTTAGTTTTCTTTTGGCTGTTGAGGTTATTTTTCACGCTTTTCTTATACAACCACTTCACATTTGTTCTTTGCAGATGAGAAAATGCCCGGCAGAAGATCTCTGTGTGTGTTGATCTGTGTGTTCTGCTTCTGTTGTAAGTAACCTTCTACATGTGTCTATCTCTGATTGTGTTTGGTTTAGTTAAGTTATATTTCTACAGCGCTTAAGGTTACACTTTATTTTAAGGTGTCATTGTTACAGTGTAATTATATTTAAGTACTGATTAATAATCATGAACAGCACAATTATGGTTAGGGTAGGATTAGGTTTTGTTTTAGGGTAAATTGCATGTAGGCTAATTATGCATAATTTACTGTTATTATAGTAAGTACATGTAACCTGTAACAAGGACACTGTAAAATTACAGTACTGATTGTTTCAAAGCAGAATAACAGAATCAATTTTGCACTGCAAATAGATTTTTAAATCAAGACATTTACTTGAAGATTAAAAGAAAAATTAATCAAAACTAAGTGACTGTATGCTTAATATCTAACAATGGGGTCAGAAAAATAATCTGGTTTTCCCTTTGAATTAAAATGTATTTTTCTGACCCCACTTCGTTTAGTGAATGTTTAGATATTTAAAGTAAGAAAATCATTTTTTGCTGTGTGCAAACTTGCTGTATAGCATCTAGAAAATAGACAATGGTGTCATTAATTAGCTTAAATCAGTGCAGTGTTGATTCGGTTTGTTCAATTACTTTGTAAAGTCCATCAATTATGATTTACAGGTGCTTTGAAGAGAAAGCCTGTTTTCAGCATTCAAGGTAAACTTCCGTTGTTGACACGCATGTGCATTAAAAACATTCTAGCACATGAAGTGTGTGAGTGAATGAGACTGTTTTCCAGAGCTCACGGTGACTGGGAAAGACCTGAAGGATTGTGGGAAGAATGTGTGTGTGATGTCCAGCGCTGACTGTCCCGCAGAATCAGATGTTCTCACTGCAACTCCTGGTGCGAGTGCTTTAATGAGCCTGACACGGGTTTATCCTCAGATCTGCAGCTGGTTCAGTTTTAATGTCCATCTTTGTTCTCTAGAGATATTTGTGAACACGTCATGCCACTTTCTGTCCCATGAGGAGTCGATCACCTGCAGGTGGATTCAGATGAACGACGTCCGAACGGAAACCTTCATTCTCAGAAGGTAACAGTTTCATTTCATCAGTACGGTGCTTTAGTGTCAGATGCATCAGAAACCTATTAAAGCTTGATTCCACCATGGAATAAAAAATAGAAAAGGGAATTGCACATTTTTATCTCATAATTTTGAAAGTTTTCTCGCAATTGAAAACTGACATATAAACTCGGAATTGCGAGATATGTCGCAATTCTGAAAAATAAAGTCACAGTTGCAATTCTGAGAGAATTGCAAAATAACTCACAATTGGAAGTTATAATCACAATTCGGCAAAACAAAATCCAGTTGCAATCCTTATGAATAGTCAGAATTACAAGTTATAACCTTACAGTTGCGAGTTATAAAGTATAGTAGCCTCTCAAAGTTGGAATACTTAAAAATAAAGTTGCAATTCTGAGAAACAAAGATATAAACTCACAATTGAGAGTTATAAAGTCAAAATTCTGAGAAATAGTCAGAATTGCAAGATATAAACTAACAATTGGGAGTTATAAAGTCAAAATTCTGACAAACAAAGTCGCAATTCTTAAAAACAAAGTCGCAATGTTGCAAAACAGTCACATATTTTGAGAAACTAATTCGCAATTGTGTCTTTTTTTCTCAAAATTGTGAGTTTATTGGATATCTCCTATAACTCACAATTGCAAGTTTATACAGTAAATCAGACTTGCTAGATAAAAAGTCGCAATTACCGTTTTTTTATTTTTTTAATCCTGTGGCAAAACAAGCTTCCATAGAAACCTCCATTAGACCAGCTGAAAATAAACTAATCCATCTTGATACGAACTGACATCCTAATATAGTTTTTGTTTTATAGAACTGACGTCTACTGTCCTTCCATTTTAAATTTCTTTTCACGTTTCAATTTAACCATCAAGTCAAAGAGCATCGACAGCCAGAAAGAGTGGTTCTCTGATGTCTATCCAGTGATCATTAAAGAAATCGGTAAGATAAGATGACAGCAGGGGTGTAGAAAGTAGACATTGTATTGAAAGTTAAAATACAGATACTGTCTCACAACTTTAAGTCACCGTGAAGTAAAGTCAGCTTTATTTCTACAGCGCTTTAAACAACAGAGATTGTTTCAGCTACAGTAATAAACAGGAAAATAACTGAATCAATGATCCAAACTTCATCAAATTTGAGACAAATTCCATTTCCGCTGTAAAGCCGCTCTAAAGAAGTCAAGAGTCATTATTCAGATCAATTCAGTTCAGTGTTGATTCAGTTCAGTTCAATAACGGTTAATTTAGCTAAATTTGTCAAATATGAAACAAAGTTGAATCAGTATTTTATAGTTGCTTTTAATGTCTTTATAGCTAAGTAACTAGCCAAAAAATACTTGAGTGAAAGTAAACATTAGATTAGATCAATGTGTGGTGGTGATGATGGGTTGAGATGTGATGTGATGGGTTGAGATGTGATGGGTTGAGATGTGATGTGATGGGTTGAGATGTGATGGGTTGAGATGTGATGGGTTGGGATGTGATGGGATGTGAGGGGTTGAGATGTGATGTGATGAGTTGAGATGTGATGGGTTGAGATGTGATGTGATGGGTTGAGATGTGATGGGTTGAGATGTGATGTGATGGGTTGAGATGTGATGGGTTGAGATGTGATGTGATGGGTTGAGATGTGATGGGTTGAGATGTGATTGGTTGAGATGTGATGTGATGGGTTGAGATGTGATGGGTTGAGATGTGATGTGATGGGTTGAGATGTGATGGGTTGAGATGTGATGTGATGGGTTGAGATGTGATGGGTTGAGATGTGATGTGATGGGTTGTGATGTGATGGGTTGGGATGTGATGGGTTGAGATGTGATGTGATGGGTTGAGATGTGATGGGTTGTGATGGGTTGTGATTAGGGGTGGGAATCTCTAGGCACCTCACAATTCGATTCGATTACGATTCAGAGGGCTGCGATTCGATGCTAAATCGATTATCAGAATCTTTTTTTTGTGTGTGTGTGACTATAAATACTTTGCTTTAAAAGTAGAAAGTAATGACCCATAAAGAATTAACGTACAATATATTTTATTAACATTGCAAAGAACCAACAGGAAAATACATGTGTGTCTGAACTAGCAGCAGCATATTTGTAGTAAATTAATAATATAACAACGACCGGTAACGTTACAGCCGAGTGTTTTTCCTCCTCTGGCTGGAAACGTGTCATATGGCTTCTCATATGTGTCTTGTTTCCGAAATATTTTAGTTTTACTCTACAAAGCTTACAACTAGTGTGGCTCTTGTCCAGCTCCTTTCCCCCGTCAACTTCAGAAGCCAAAATATTTCCACACGTCAGCTTTTAACGAGGAGGGTGTTTGGATTTGGCGCTCAGCCATCGCGTCCGCGTCTGTTACGTGCACGCCACAGACGGTCCGGCCACTGCACTTCCGCGCTTCAGAGTTCCGTCTTTCGCGTTTCGTCAATATTACGTTATTATAAATATAAATCTAAAAATTTTTTATTTTTTTTGAAAATCGATTTTTGACAATTGTGAATCGATTCAGAATCGTCCACGTCCGCATCGCGATGCATCTAAGAATCGATTTTTTCCCCCACCCCTAGTTGTGATGTGATGTGATGGGTTGAGATGTGATGTGATGGGTTGAGATGTGATGGGTTGAGATGTGATGGGTTGAGATGTGATGTGTTGAGATGTGATGGGTTGAGATGTGATGTGATGGGTTGAGATGTGATGGGTTGTGATGGGTTGTGATGGGTTGTGATGTGATGTGATGGGTTGAGATGTGATGTGATGGGTTGAGATGTGATGGGTTGAGATGTGATGGGTTGAGATGTGATGGTTGTGATGTGATGGGTTGTGATGTGATGGGTTGAGATGTGATGGGTTGAGATGTGATGGGTTGAGATGTGATGGGTTGAGATGTGATGGGTTGAGATGTGATGGGTTGAGATGTGATGGGTTGTGATGTGATGGGTTGTGATGTGATGAGTTGAGATGTGATGGGTTGAGATGTGATGGGTTGGGATGTGGTGTGATGGGTTGAGATGTGATGTGATGGGTTGGGATGTGATGGGATGTGAGGGGTTGAGATGTGATTGGTTGAGATGAGATGTGATGGGTTGAGATGTGATGGGTTGAGATGTGATGTGGTGGGTTGAGATGTGATGTGATGGGTTGGGATGTGATGGGTTGGGATGTGATTGGTTGAGATGAGATGTGATGGGTTGAGATGTGATGGGTTGAGATGTGATGTGGTGGGTTGAGATGTGATGTGATGGGTTGGGATGTGATGGGTTGGGATGTGATGGGTTGAGATGTGATGGGTTGAGATGAGATGTGATGGGTTGATATGTGATGTGATGGGTTGAGATGTGATGGGTTAAGATGTGATGTGATGGGTTGTGATGTGATGTGATGGGTTGAGATGTGATGTGATGTGATGGGTTGAGATGTGATGTGATGGGTTGAGATGTGATGGGTTGAGATGTGATGTGATGGGTTGAGATGTGATGGGTTGTGATGTGATGTGATGGGTTGAGATGTGATGTGATGGGTTGAGATGTGATGTGATGGGTTGAGATGTGATGTGATGGGTTGTGATGTGATGTGATGGGTTGAGATGTGATGTGATGTGATGGGTTGAGATGTGATGTGATGGGTTGAGATGTGATTTGATAGGTTGAGATGTGATGTGATGGGTTGTGATGTGATGTGATGGGTTGAGATGTGATGTGATGTGATGGGTTGAGATGTGATGTGATGGGTTGAGATGTGATGTGATGGGTTGAGATGTGATGTTTTTGTCTTGGGATGTTCTTCTGAATGTTGTAGTTCAGGCTCCTCGGCCGGTGATCACGTCTGTTAATGTCACAGACTCGTCAGTCAACGTCACATGGAATGGAGGAAGAATAACTAAATGCCGAATCCGCTACAAACGCCTCAACACAGAGTCATGGACAAAGGTCAGAAATGACAGAAATAGCTTGGAAATATGTTTTTGTTGTGTGGGTTCTTATTTCATTTTGTTTAATTTAATTTTTCATATTATCTTATTTTACTCAATTTTTTATTTGATCATTTTTATATTTTACTTCATTAGATCTCTGAATCTGATTGATGATGCTTAGAGATGCTCATTGAAGTAAAAACTTCTGTTTCACGTCAGACTGCAGATTTGCCCGCCTCAGAGGAGTCTCTGTTCGTGATTGAGGGTTTACAGGCCTTCAGCGAGTATCTTCTGAGCGTCTCCTGCGTTCATGATCGCAGCCGGTGGAGCGACTGGAGCAGCGAGACACGAGTAAAGACGTCCGAGAGCCGTGAGTGACCCGAACAGAACTGATGCACTGGCCCTGACTGTTGTTCGTTAGATCCAGTGTCTGAATCTGTTTAGGCTTCTGATCATTTTTACTCACTGACACTAGCTTTAAAGGGGTAGTTCACCCAAAAATGAAAATTAGCCCATGATTTACTCCCAAGCCATCCTAGATGCACTTTTATGATGCACAGATGCACTTTTATGATGGATAGATGCACTTTTATGATAGATAGATGCACTTTTATGATGGACAGATGCACTTTTATGATGGACAGATGCACTTTTATGATGGATAGATGCACTTTTTTGATGGACAGATGCACTTTTATGATGGATAGATGCACTTTTATGATGGACAGATGCACTTTTATCATGGACAGATGCACTTTTATGATGGACAGATGCACTTTTATGATGGATAGATGCACTTTTATGATGGATAGATGCACTTTTATGATGGATAGATGCACTTTTATGATGGACAGATGCACTTTTATGATGCACAGATGCACTTTTATCATGGACAGATGCACTTTTATCATGGACAGATGCACTTTTATGATGGACAGATGCATTTTTATGATGGACAGATGCACTTTTATGATGGACAGATGCACTTTTATGATGGACAGATGCACTTTTATGATGCACAGATGCACTTTTATGATGGATAGATGCACTTTTATGATGGACAGATGCACTTTTATGATGGACAGATGCACTTTTATGATGGACAGATGCACTTTTATGATGGATAGATGCACTTTTATCATGGACAGATGCACTTTTATGATGCACAGATGCACTTTTATAATGGACAGATGCACTTTTATGATGGATAGATGCACTTTTATGATGGATAGATGCACTTTTATGATGGATAGATGCACTTATGATGGATAGATGCACTTTTATGATGGATAGATGCACTTTTATCATGGACAGATGCACTTTTATGATGGATAGATGCACTTTTATCATGGACAGATGCACTTTTATGATGGATAGATGCACTTTTATCATGGACAGATGCACTTTTATCATGGACAGATGCACTTTTATCATGGACAGATGCACTTTTATGATGGACAGATGCATTTTTATGATGGACAGATGCACTTTTATGATGGACAGATGCACTTTTATGATGGACAGATGCACTTTTATGATGGATAGATGAAATTTTATGATGGACAGATGCACTTTTATGATGGATAGATGCACTTTTATGATGGATAGATGCACTTTGATGGACTTAAAAATTATACTGCCATTCGATGCCATTATAAAGCTCAGAAGAGCCAGGACATTTTTTAATATAACTCTGATTGTATTCGTCTGAAAGAAGAATGTCATATACACCTAGGATGACTTCAGGCTGAGTAAATCATGGGCTAATTTTCATTTTTGCGTGAACTATCCCTTTAATGTAACGACATTCACACAGACTGAAGTTTCCTAATGTGTTTGAATCTAAACCTATAATGACCATTCTCCTGCTGTCATGTTCTTTTCCATAATCGTACGAGGTCTTGGGCTTGTGTTTGCAGTGCCGTCTGCACCTCTCTCGCTCAGTTATCATGTGGCTTCAGATGTAAACTCCGGGGTTCGGCAGCTGCTGCTTCTCTGGAAGGTAATATTCTTCAGGTGTGTTTGTGTATCGTCTCTCACGTGCCGTCAGTCTTCAGTCGTGTGTGTTTCTGAAGGCTCTGGACGTCACAGATGCTCGAGGACTCATTCGAGGGTATGAAGTGTCCTACATGCCCACCAAACAGCCCTCTCTAAAGAAAACCATCCACACCGCTGAGCTCAAGGTAGATTCTGTTTATTTTATTGTATTTTATTTATTTTAACTTTTTACATTTTTACTTTTATTAATTACATTTTAATTTTAATGTTTATTTTAACTTGAATTTTTACATTTTAAATATTTTTTTAATTATTTTATTTAAATTTTTAGTTATTTTTATTTGTATTATTTGTTATTATTATTTGTTATTATAATTTTTTAAAATTTTTTATTTCATTCTATTTGATTTATATATTATTTTATTTTCATTTTTATTTTCAATTTATTTTTAATTTATATATTATTTTTTATTATTATATATTATTTTTTAAATGTTTTAATTTGACATTTTATTAATTAATTGTATATATTTTTTTAAATTTTTATAAATTTATGTAATTAATTTGTGTTTTATTTTTTAATGTATATTTTAACTTGATTTTTAAATGTATTTTTTTTGTTGTTGTTTTTTTTTTTTTGATATTTTATGTTAATTATCATTTACATTTTTAAAATTATTTTGTATTATTATAATTATATTTTGATAACATCTAGAAATGAAGAATCGTCAGGTCTCGGTATGATTGTGATAAGCGTGTGTTCATGAATGTCAGGCTGTGTTAGATGGATAGAGGACTGAATGGTGTTGTTTCTGAAGGCAGTAGTTCTGGTGTGGGCAGAGGAGTACGAGGTGACCGTATGGGCTTATAACAGCGCCGGACACTCGCCGCACCGCCGGCTCCTCGTCGACGCGTCTCGTTCTCACGGTGAGCAGCCGTCGTCTCTCGTTAGTGTGATTGATCTCTAGTGCATACGGTACTTGGTGGGTAAGGCCAGTTTAATCAAATAGCACATTCCATACACAATGTGCTTTACATAAAAATGATTTTAACAGATGCATAAGAGATAAAATACTGGATTTAAAATGCATTAAAGGGATAGTTCACCCAAAAATAAAAAAAATTGTTATTCTTAGTCAGACAGATGCACTTTTATGATGGATAGATGCACTTTTATGATGGATAGATGCACTTTTATGATGGATAGATGCACTTTTATGATGTATAGATGTACTTTTATGATGGACAGATGCACTTTTATGATGGATAGATGCACTTTTATGAGGGATAGATGCACTTTTATGATGGATAGATGCACTTTTATGATGTATAGATGTACTTTTATGAGGGATAGATTCACTTTTATGATGGATAGATGCACTTTTATGATGGATAGATGCACTTTTATGATGGATAGATGCACTTTTATCATGGATAGATGCACTTTTATGATGGATGGATGCACTTTTATGAGGGATAGATGCACTTTTATGAGGGATAGATGCACTTTTATGATGGATAAATGCACTTTTATGATGGATAGATGTACTTTTATGAGGGATAGATGCACTTTTATGATGGATAAATGCACTTTTATGATGGATAGATGCACTTTTATGATGGATAGATGTACTTTTATGATGGATAGATGCACTTTTATGATGGATAGATGTACTTTTATGAGGGATAGATGCATGGATAAATGCACTTTTATGATGTATAGATGCACTTTTATGACGTATAGATGCACTTTTATCATGGATAGATGCACTTTTATGATGTATAGATGTACTTTTATGATGTATAGATGTACTTTTATGAGGGATAGATGCACTTTTATGATGGATAGATGCACTTTTATGATGGATGGATGCACTTTTATGATGGATGGATGCACATTTATGATGGATAGATGCACTTTTATGATGGATAGATGCACTTTTATCATGGATAGATGCACTTTTATGATGGATAGATGCACTTTTATGATGGATAAATGCACTTTTATGATGGATAAATGCACTTTTATGATGGATAGATGCACTTTTATCATGGATAGATGCACTTTTATTGTGGATAAATGCACTTTTATGATGGATAGATGCACTTTTATGATGGATAGATGCACTTTTATGATGGATGGATGCACTTTTATCATGGATAGATGCACTTTTATGATGGATAGATGCACTTTTATCATGGATAGATGCACTTTTATGATGGATAGATGAACTTTTATTTTTTTTAAGAGCCAGGACATTTTTTAATATAACTCTGATTGTATCCGTGTGAAAGAAGAATGTCATATACACCTAGGATGACTAGAGGGCGAGTAAATCATGGGCTAATTTGAACTATCCCTTTAAAAACAAATAAGAATTGGGCCTACATAAATAAGATGATACACAGATGTGTGAATGTGATGTGTTGTGTGAGATCTGGATGGTGTTCCTCAGATGTGCGGTCAGTGAAGGCTCTCTGGGTTTATTCTGACGGCTCGTCGCTGCGGATCCGATGGGATCGTGACGTCACTGATGCAGACGTCAGCGAGTTCGCCATCGAATGGAGCGCCGTCACGGACCCCGAACACAAACACTGGCAGCGAGTCGACGGATCCACGTTCACAACCCGTCTCACAGGTCAACGGAGGGTCTGGGATTATAGTGAAACTAAGACATTTAACAATATTAATGTGTCTGGCACACGTTTAATCCAACAAGCGAAATAAACAAGCATTGATATCCAATGCATTATGTGTTATTTTAGAGCATTAATATTTCCAATATGGTTGTATTGGTTAACATGAACTAACATGAACAACACTTCTACAGCATTTATTAATCTAAGTTAATGTTACTCTCAACATTTACTAATACATTAGTATTTTTGTTCATTAAAGAATCAGATTTGTATGAACTAACATTAATAAATACTGTAAGACTATATTGCACATTGTTAGTTCATGCATTAACTATTGTTAAATAGAATATAAAGTTACCAAGATTTTTAACATTGTAATGGCTAATAAACTTGTCACTCAAAATTCTCATTATAAAGTGAAAAAAAATCTTTTAATTATTTTTACTTTATTGCAGTTGTTCTACTTTATGTTGATTTAAAGAATAAATGATTGTATTACTGTATGTTTTTCACTGTAATCAAGTAAAAATGACCGTATTAAAGTACATTACTTCTTAAGCGGATTAATTTTACAGTAATGAGAATCTTTGAGAATTGCAACAAATCCTTAAATTATTTCACTGCAAAAAAAATGTATTCTTCCTCAGTGTTTCTATCACGTTTTTCAGCACAAATATCTAAACATTATTAAATCAAGATACATTTACTGGAGATGCAAAATAACAGAAGATATTAAGTCTCGTTTACTGATAAATTTATCAAAATGAACGCTTGAAACAAGAACAAATATCTGCCAATGGGGTCAGAAAAAAAGCTTATTTATAATAGTTTATTAAAGTTTATTTTTCTGACCCCATTGGCAGATATTTGTTCTTGTTTTAAACACAAAATCACTTCATTTTAATTTATTTTCCAGACATAATATCTTCAGTAATTTTGCTTCTTCTCCAGTAAATGTCTCTCGAATTAACAATGTTTAGATATTTGTGCTGGAAAACGAGTGAAAAATACTGAGGAAGAACATCATGTTTTGCAGCGTTGTGTTAAAACGTGACCTGGATATGATATTGTGATATTCTCATAAACATATGAAAAGCTTATTTATAACATAAAATCTAATCTCATGTTGTGGAAGGCCTCAAACAGGACGAGATCTACAACATCAGTGTGTTTCCCGTGCACGACTCTCTCTGTGCGCCTCAGACCTCCATCTCTGCCGATCTACAACACGGAGGTAAAGACGCTGCAAGTTTTAAAGCTTCACTATTTAGCTGTTGAGAAATGTTGAGGAATATGCTTTGGTTTTGCTCAGCTCTGCTGGATGTGGAGGGGTTTCGTCTGGTGAACGTGTCGCGCTCGTCTCTGGCGGTGCAGTGGACGTGGAAGCAGACGAAGCCGAGAGTAAAAGTGCTTCAGTACAAGCTCGTGTTGAGCGGAGAACACGGAGCCGAGTGTGAGTCGAGTCTCCTTCATTTATACAGCGCTTTTAACAATATTCATATCAAACTGAGTGTGAGTCATTCTGGAGAGAATCTGCTCGTTCTGACCCGAAGCCCTAAAATTAGACTTAAAGGGATAGTTCACTTTGAAATAAATTTTTGGTATGTTTTAGCTTACCTCAAGGGCATCCAAGATGTAGGTGTCTTTGTTTCCGCAGTATTTTCAATTTTGATATTTTTAGGTCAAAGCGTTCTTGTCTGTCAGTCATATAATGCAGGTCTATGGTCACCACCTCAAAGAGCAGCACAGAGAAGTCCAAATTAAACATGATTTAATGACTCGTAAATTTAAGTACACATTGATGGCCTAAGACACGAAACGAGCGGTTTGTGTGAGAAAACGAACAGTATTTATATCGTTTTTACCTCTTGTAAACACAGCCACGTCCAAGTGATCTGAGGGCGCGGGCGCTTCTGTCTTTTCCGAGTGATCTCTCGCGCGTGTACGTCACTCATACAATTGTTTTATTTTTTTATTGTTTTCTTTTACGACGGTTTAAACATCCCGGATAAGCGCAAATTAGTACCCTTTTAATTAGCCGTCTTACCTACAATCTCTGTTCTGTGTAAACAATGAGTGACGTACACGCGCGAGAGATCACTTCCGGCGCTTTCCGGAAAAGACAGAAGCGCCGGCGCCCTCAGATCACTTGGACGTGGCTGTGTTTACAAGAGGTAAAAACGATATAAATACTGTTCGTTTTCTCACACAAACCGCTCGTTTCGTGTCTTAGGCCATCAATGTGTACTTATATTTACGAGTCATTAAATCATGTTTAATTTGGAAAATCATGTTTAATTCTCTGTGCTGCTCTTTGAGGTGGTGACCATAGACCTGCATTATATGACTGACAGACAAGAACGGTTTGACCTAAAAATATCAAAATTGAAACTAT